ATCAAACGGCACAGATTTCTGTTTGTATTATGTCAAATTTTAGAGTATAATAATGTATAGACCTATCTATTACATGTATAGTTGTCATGTTTAGGCTGTTTAGCCTATCATATTATTTTCCAAAAAAATTAGTAGGGCCTATCAGTAACAATGTAGAGGTCTACTGAATATGTGGCTGCTTGTGCTTAGATGACAAGTTTGAGGTTTGTTTAATAATTATTTTCAGACTCAGCCAGGTTTTGCTGTGCTGCACTGCAAATCCACACTGACTCAAACTTGCGTACACGAGCTGAGACCTGACGTGAGATTTGATCGTAGCGTCCGCCCATGTCCAAATTGATAAATGCCGAGCTTTGAGTGGAAATGGTCGTGTGCAGAGTTTTCTGCCGTACGTTCATTTGATAAATGAGGGCCAATGTGTCTTAGTGGTTGTTTACCCTTGTGTTTAGCGTTGTCCACTTGTGATCTGATCACCCAAAACAAATGTTAATACCAGGTCTAAATAGGCTCTTTGAGTATCTGTGAACATTTGAACTTTGAGCCTGTTGCCAGGTAATTGATCCCCAGTAAAAAACAATAAAGCTGCAATCAAAGCCATCAGTGATAATAACAATGTTTCTTTTGTCTTTCTCATGTGTACATGAGATATTTGTTAGGTCTGCTATCTTGCTGCAAGGGGCATGACAGGACTTTTTTGCATTTCCTATAAACATTTGTCTAAAATGTGGAACAGGTGGCAGTGTACTGTGTATTATGTAGTTTGTCCTTCTTCACAATGTCTTCTTCTCTGCTATGTATGATTAATTTAAAACTGTTATGTTTTATCTAAATCACGTTATTTAAAAAAAAAACCTCATTATTCGGCAGTGGACACATTAGAAAGTGTAAATTATGAAGTTTCTGTCAATATTTTTTTCATGCTTGGATGATAAAAACTCGTGGAGACATTAATCCAAATAAATGACATATTAATCTAAATCCTGCCGAGCTCCGCTGGCTCAGGTTTCATTGAAGAGGCCCCGTCCTCACTTCCAGCAAATCGTGTACTGTGCAAAGCATTGTAGGGATTTTATATCCGCGGAGGATCCACACATGCATCCTTCGAATTTCTCTGAAAGAAGGACTTTGTGAAACTCAGAAGGTTCCTTGACACTGGAACAGTCCTTTGGCGGGGGTCGATGACATAGTATCCTCCAAATTCGGCCATTTGAGGATCCTTCCTTGACACTGACAAACACTTTATGACTTGCTACACGGTCATCCACCACCTTCACCTCCACAACCTTACATCCTGCATTTGAATTGTACCAATATTTGTGTGATAAAATAGAATTGTCAAACCAAATCTGTCTTAGACAGTGTTTCCAGAGACACAGGAGCCAAACAATCAGGTCTACAGACTTTCTCCCCATCTCTAACATTAAAAATGCAGTGTTAGAAAATGATTTTTTTTCTTTGGCTAGTATAAAAAAATAAATAAATAAATGACTGAATAACTGAATAATATCAAATACCTAAGTGAAAGCTGTTTCAGTGTAAAGGAGATATGAGCAATGCATCAATACAAACTTGAGAAATTGTGAGCCTGTCATATGGCTCCAGCTTTTGCATCAGCATCTGAAAGTAACTGCACAGGAAGGGGAAGTTCTCGCCCACATACAAGTTGTATTTCAGTCTGATGCTCAGACAGTCAGCAGCGAGACAACATGGAGGTCACAGCTCTCTGCTTCAGACTGTGTGAGTACTGAGTCTCCGATTATTATTTTTTTTCTGAGTTTTATATCTTGTACAACAAATCGTATATGGATCTGATATTCAGTTTTGCTCCTTTGTTTATCTAGTGATGCTGGAATTCATTCAAATTGGTGAGTCAACCTGGGAGACCTCAACCTGATAATTATACCTCTATGTCTATGATATCTTTATTTGGTGTCTTTCTCTTTTTGTCATAAATGGGCCTGATCTCAAATTCAACTTGATGCCCAATTGCTAGTAAATACCAGAATGTATCTAAAGCAAACAAACAAAAACAAACAAAAAATCACTGATTTATTTTTATATGTCACAGTCATAGTGCATTTAGGACAGTTTTTTTTTAAACAATACATTTCTCACTTTCAGATGCATCTTTTCTTCATATCACTCCAGACAGACTGCAACACTTTGAATATGAGTCTGTCTCTTTTAACTGTGTGGAGATTTCTGGTCCCACTCACTTAAGAGGAGTAAGTAATACTCAGGAATTTAATCCGGTATGTCATATTAAGAGGACACCATCAGGGTCCTCCTGCACCATTGACAAAATCTATCCAGCAGACAGTGGAGAATACTGGTGTGAGACTGAAGGAGGAGAGAGAAGCAACAGTGTCAACATCTCTGTCACTGGTATGTTTTTGTTCTATTCTTTTCTAAAACAACTTTTTTTTGTTTTTAATTATTAAAACATTACATTTATGAATAACACAAGCCACAGCGAGTGGGTCAGGGTGCATGATACAAGGAGCAAGACTTTGATACCAGAGACACAGGTTAGCATCCTGAGTCCTGTGTGTGGTTACTTTTGGATAAGAACTTTTGTCAGGGTTAGGGGACTTTTTTCTGTTTAAACACATGACCATGATTTTTCCCTTAATTCGAGTCACTTGAGTCTTAATTCTCAAGTGTTGTAAATGTCAAACATTCAGTCACTAAAAGTGGATACTGTGTTGCGATATCAGATATTTTGGTGGAAAACAGATGAAATACATTTCTTGATATTTTCAGCATCAACGTTTTTGCAACTAACCAGATAAATACATAAATCATTTCCTCATTACATAAATAGAAAATACAATCCAGCTGGCATTACGTTACCATTAAACCTTCAAAAAGACATTGCTGTGTAATTTTACCTGGGGAAAAAAAACTCAAAACTATGGTACAGATGTGTGTTAACACCTGCTCGTAATGCCATTTTCTCAATAAAGGCAACACTCTTAATACTTAACAGTCTCGACCAACTTTGAATATTTATTTAAAATTGTAGATCAGTTAAAAGCAGTTATAAAATGGTTAGTCTTAAATCAATTTTAACCATATTTATGTTTAATATTTTTTTTTAAAAAAAATCATCTAGCTTTTATTGTTAGCTGATGTACATTTGCATACACTTAAGATAATTGCTGATGTATTTGTTACAGTGTTCAGTTACTTACTTACATTTACATCTGGTTGAAAGTGATTAATATTCACATATCTTGTAAAGATCCCTTCTAACAAACAATGCATGTGAGTTAACTTTTAATAATGCCATTGGGATATATTGGGGGACATTTAGTAAATATCTGTCACTTTGCATATGATACACTGTTATATATCAGTATTTTATATCTGCTTTATTCGTGGCGTGTCTCTTTTTATATTTCAATTTTTGTTTAATTGACTGCATTATCATTCAGACCATAGGCTACATTCTTATGTGTGCCTATGGTTATGTCTGTATTTTTTCCTTGCCTATTAAAACTATCCTCAATTTTATCTATTGTATGTAACTGCAGTATTGTACATAAAATAAATGTCTAATGGTTCATATTTACAACTTGTTGTTTAGTTGATGGTGTGATCCTGGAGAGTCCTGCTCTTCCTGTGATGGAGGGAAAAGCTGTGACTCTGCGCTGCAAAAACAAGACAACTTCCCGCAACCCCTCAGCTAATTTCTACAAAGATGGCCTCCTCATGGGGAATAGTTCTACAGCAGAGCTGACCATCAACAGTGTTTCCAAGTCTGATGAAGGACTTTACAAGTGTCACATCTCTGGTGTTGGAGAATCACCAGACAGCTGGCTGGCTGTCAGAGGTGAGAAATAACAGTGATACAAAACAATATACAGCTAATATGTAGCTATAGGATATGTATGGGCATGCTAGATGCAGATTACCACTTATAATGACACTGCTATGTTTGAGATGAAAGGTGTTTTGCCAGGGCCAAATAAGTTGAAACCATCAGCTGCTAAAATAATTGCTAAAAACTCTACATCCATCTGGGCTAACATGTGACAGCTTCCTATTGCAAATCTTTCATATTCACATCTGTTTATGCATGTTTAGATATGAATATTTTGCAGCTTTGCAAGTTTATTTTTTATTTTTTTATCTAAAATTATAGTTCCATACATAGTGTGATTTGTAATGTTACAGCCAATACCAGGTCTACCATCTCATCACCACCTCATAAAGACCATCTGTCCAATAACTCCGACATCCCTCACGTCCCCATCCTGCTGTGGATTGCTATCACCATTTTAATATTGGCCCTGGTGCTGGTGGTGGTGGGCTTCCTTTATATTAGGAAACACAGAGGTAAAGATAATACTCTACTTTTAACATAATGAATGTAAAATAACTCCCAAAGAAACACTAAAGTGAGAAAAATAACTCTAGCCATTTAAGTTAAACAGCACATAGCATCCTTTTAGACACTGGGTTTGGTGTTTATCTAATAATTCCTATACTTAGTATACTAACATGAAAGTCATACAAGAGGAATGCTGGTTGCTTTGTTAAGAGGAAGGTCCTCCTTTTCTCTGCAAGACTCAGCTCAGAGCAAAAATGTTTTTATTGTTTTACCTGGTGGACAATTACTTAATATTGATGTTTCATTTGTAAGCACTGCTCCCTCCTTTACTATCCATCTTTATGCAGTTGTATGTTGTATTGTCTGATTGGCTATGGTGCTTTTCTGTCCCATAGCAGCATCACATGCAGTTAAGGACAATCAAAGAGGTGAGTGCAAGCTTGTCATTGTAGTTTTTCTTTTAATTTTTTTTTAACTATGCTTCAGATTTGCATTACTTCGTGCAATTTTTGATCTTTTTTCTTCTTGTTCTTCTCTGTAAAAAAAAGTGCCTAAAGAATGGAGATCAAATATCATTCTAAATGTGTTTTATGTTTCTGGGAAGACAATGCTTCAGATGATGCCGACGATGTGACATATACAGTCGTTTTCACAAAACCAAGAGAAGACAAAGGTATACATATATTTATATATGTATATATATATGTAAAGAAAAACTTTTGTGTGAGGAACACAAGACTATAGCAGATAACTTATTTCGTCATCATTGGTACATTTCATAAGCCCACATATACAGTACTCCTTACTCTGAGAGATAAAGTGGAACTTTAAAAACTTTAATGAGGTTAGCCGAGGAGAAAATAAGAGTAACAATAAGAGCACCTATTTGTTGCTGTCCCTCATGTTGCAAGTGGCAGTTGACATGTTGGTTGAGACGTGCTGAACCACAGGACTTATATGTGAATTATTTTTGCATCCTTTCAGTGTGTCACACATGGTGTTTTGTTTTAGACGCTGTAGACACTGCTGATAATTTGAGCCTCAGGTCAAACCACACCAGAAAACCACGGGCTGAAAAACGTGAGTGGCTCTGACCGCTTCAGTCTGTCAGTATTAGTAGTCAGTATTATAATTTATAATGTGCTCTTTTTAAGTCATCTGTCTGTGTGTCCGTTGCCAGAGTTCGTATGTTATTAAAATGTTTTTGGACAATTTTTATGCATTTTCTAAAAAAAAAAAAAAATGCTCACATACTTATTGATGCTTCCAAAATATTCTCAGAGCTACAAACATTTCAACAGTATCTTGATCTGGTATAAGATCATCATGTAGACTAAAATAATGATTTATGGGTTTGACCCCAACAGAGACCTCTGCTGTCACTTACTCCACTAATGGTCATATACATTTTCAAAAAAAAAAAATCAAAGTATTTTCAGTATTTAAAAAAAAAAAGAATAAATAAATAAATGGAGGATTTAAAAACTATTCACATAGCACTGTGGAAAAAAGCATGACCTTTTCTAGAGTACATTATCAAACTTTATGCTTAGAAAAAGCAATAAAAAAAGAAAAACAAAAGTTAATGACCCTTCACTAACCAACATCACAAAAAAAGCAAAGAAAAAGATACATTTTTAGTATTCTCTAAAATAAGGAGGTGGTGGAGCTGAAAATGGAAAGTTTGACTGAAGGTGTTTGTCCAGATGAAAGATCAGGATGTTTTTTACAGAAACAAGGGATTGCCCTGACAATTACATGAGTGTTTAGGTAATTTAATTATTATTGCTGTTTAGATGATCAGATTTCTTGTGTCCTTCCCTGTCTGTAAAGCAGAATCAGGATTATCCGGCTCCACAGTGAGCCTGAGTCCCAAAGCAGCCAAGGACTCAAGTACAACAGAGCAGAAACCTATCTATACAACTGTCCAGAAGGTAAGACTTACAGCAACTACTTCCTCTTAAGGCCCTGACACACCAGGTCATCTGTCTGCCATCAGTCAATGTCAGTTTGTTAGTGAGCATCTGTTGCCCTATAGTTGTTGCCCTGTGTCCCGCACCGCTGGCACTTGTCGGCTCTTGTCAGCAACGTTTCGGTGAATATTGAACATGTTAAATCAGCGCCAGAGCCCGTAGGTGAGTGAAATCATTCTGATTGGTATTTCAACTCAGTGGATGTGAAGAGAAACCCAAGTACAGAAGGCAAACACAGGACTGAGGTCAAACTGGTGTTAGATCAAAACAAGTTTGAAGCAAAAATTGATTGATTAATTTGAAACCTTTTTTTTTTTTTAATGCCGTTAAGCACTTCACTTGAGCACATAACAGTTTGTGTTATTGTTTCTTGGCACACAGTAAATATCATTTGTTCTTTCAACAGTTTGTGTTGTGAATGTACTAACTGGCCAAGTAATGTCTTGAATCTGCCGTGCTAGTTTTCAAGTTTCCCTTTTTGAATGATAAATACAGACTGTAGCCACCTGCTGCTATGGAGAGCTTTCTTCCTCTCATGTAGGTGCAGAATGTATGTGCTAACTGACTGTTGGCTGTCGTCTTTGCGATGTGTTCAAGTGCAACTTTTTGACTGAGACACAGGCAACGTGAGGCAACAAAACAGTCTTCGTCTCCTCCAGTTCTTTGATGTTGGTTTGATGTATTTGGGCCTTTAATTTGCCTAATTACTCTTCATAAGTGATCTTGAACTCCTCACACTAAAGCTGTATGGCATGTGTCTTCCTTTAAATGTGAAACCAAGTGGCCACAAGTCAGTCAAGAACACAAAATATAATGTATATTAGGGTTCATGTCTAAATGCTGAAGTGAATCTGAAAATAGCCATCCCTTTTCCACTTATTTTAGTTTAACCGTTTTGTTTTGTGACCCTTGAGTTTAGGATATTTACCACACATTTATCTTTGTGTATTCTGTCTTACAGGTCAAGAGCAGAGATGCCTGACTGAGGAAGACTCCATGTGCAAGAGAAGAAGAAATAAATCACAAATACTGTCATTTCATTTGAGTATACTATGTATCAATCAAATTTCACTTTCACTGAAAATAGCAAGCAACAAAAAGTCGCTTACCAACAAAACAGCTAAAGTTGTAAAACAAAAAATGACAGCTTTTGTATGCTGGATTTAAATGCATTACCAATACAGTATCAATACATTCTCACTCCAACCTTGTCACATGTTGATGTTCGGTCACGGACTTTCCATGTCAACATATGACATGCGAGGTACACTGGGTATGTTGGTTGTTGGCTTTGTCAACCTCTGTGACATACATTGTCTGTTTACAAAATACACTTCCTCTTTCACAGTAAATTTACAGTTTGCATACAGTCTCTTTCAAAATTAACACACTGGGCTCTAGTTTTGCAGACCGGGCGAGGCGGGGGTGCAGCGCACCTGCGCTTCGTCAACTGGGTGTGGCCAGGCGGATTTTGCAAGTTTGGCACACCGTGCGCCCTGCCGCAGCTACTCCTCTTTCCCACCTCCGTCCCTCCTACCGGCGCAAGTCGGAAAGAGGGAGGAGAGAAGGCGTGGAGTGGGTTTTACACACATCACACCAATCAAATGAGCCCCTCTCCTCGCCCTTAAATGCGCCACGTGAAGGCGTAATGAGAGTTTACTCAATTCGCCATGGCAGAAGAGAGCAGCAGCGTCAGACGGCCAAACTTCTCCCAGGAGGAAACTGATGTTTTGGTCCGGGAGGTCCAAGCTTGCAGTGTCCGAATATACGGAACTGCGAGCAGACCTCCACGGGCTGATGATGCAAAGGTAGCCTGGGAGGAGGTCACCACAATTGTAAATCAATGTTGCGTTTCTCTCATGCGCGCGCTCTCTCTTTCTCTCTCACAGTCTCGCTCTGTTTCTTTTCTTTTGACTTTTCTAAGATGACAGATGCTGAATATATACTCCCTATCTGATGCTGTGGCTGTTTGTGGTTGGCTGAGAGGGATGTGAACTCATTAGTTTGCAGCTGTGTTAATCAAATCAGGTTGGGTTTCCATTACGCGTGCCAAACGTGCCAAACGGTGCCAATCCCCTTTGATCTGACATCAGATGTGACGGGACAGTCGATATAGAGATACATTTATGTGCTGATTGCAGATAGTTGCATTGAATAGTGGTTTTCTGGGTATTTATTGCATTGTTAATGTGCCTGATATTCTGGAAACCTGCCTGTGAGGTTTTGGTGACGTGTGCGCACTGTCCGCCGGTCAGCCAAACTTTGGCTTACACCGGCTGCGCTCCGCCTGCGCTGACAGTAGACTTGGTTTCAGCTGGCGAGCTTTTAGCGCACCTTCGGCGAAGCCTTTTGGCACGAAACTGTCACTGCGCCAAGCTAGATCTGTCGACACCTCCCCCTGCTGCGCCGCCACACCCATCTCAGCGCACCTTGGTCTGCCAAACTACCAAACTGAGCGCGCCTCGGGTTGCGCTGCTCGAAACTAGCTCTGCGCGGGGTTTGCCACCCTGCACTACCCTGCACTGCGCCGGGAAACTAGAGCCCACTATGTTGGTACAACGCCGCAAATTGATGTTTTTTTTCCCTTTAACAACAAAAACGTGGTTGCGTTCAGCCATCAAAAACACGTTTGGGTTTAGAATTTTTAAAAAAGAACACGGTTTGAAGCAAACACCAGCCTCCCGCGTGAAAGTCAGTTGTTGACCTATCCACCACCACTCCTGCCCTCCCTACTCGGACTTTCGCCCTTTAACTTACATTGTTGTCCTGCTGCATTTTCCCTGACGCTGACGCATTAAACAAAAAATGGCGACCGGCAACGTATCATGCCGACGTCAAAGGATGGCTTTTTTTGTTGATGTCCAACGCCAGAGGTCATTGCCCGACTTTGGAGTGTGACTGGATTGACAGTTAACGTGCATTTCTTAATCTAACCTTTCGAATAGTGGAAGTTTGGCTGGATGATCTAGTCACACTGACAGTTGTAAGGAGACTTAAAGCATCAGCGTCTATTTTTATTAGAGTGGAACAGTTAAGCCACATTGTTCTCTCTGCTTTAGTCACATGCTTCAAGATACGATATATAAAGAGGTAAAAAAAGAGCTGCTGCAGCGTATACACTCACTGTGGTCAACCACCAACATGATGCAGTTACATCAGTTTGACCCTGAGCAACCAGAATGAGCTTGAAGCCACACGCATGCATTAATTTGGTTTCAATGATAAGGCCAGGGGTTCAGGGGGAAGGAACAGTGAACTCCTTTTCAAACTAAATGACAGCTTATATTACATTTGTATTCTAACATATACTGTTATTTTCTCCCTGGGTGGTGTAATGTAGACGATGATGTGCATGTGCATACATGTAGTCTTTTGTCCCCCAGGCTATAAGGCTATTCAATATATCTTAGCAATGGCAGGTTGGAATGGACTGAACTGAACTGACTGAATACTCACCTGCTCACCTGTCTTCAGGCTGCTGGACTGTTGCTGGTTATGTTGGCTTCAGTTGCTGGTTATGTTAACCTTGCAAAATTTGCATTTACATTTTCTTTGGATATTTACACCCTATTTGCATTTACATTTATTTAGATACCCACCTTCTGCTATGTCATGGTCCTCCTAGGTTTTATGTTTTCTATTGTGTAACTTCTACTGCTGTTGAAGTGTGGTATAACATGTAAGGACTTGTTTATGCTTTCAGTGACTTATATCGCAGGCAACTGGACTTGCTTGAGTTTCTTCAAGCCCTTCAACTCTCATTCAAGAGGCTTCTTCAGCGCTAAAGAAACGTAAGTTAAGAGGTGAAACATCTCCAAAAAACTCAAGCAAGTCCAGTTGCCCATGTTATAGCACTTCATTGCTGTGATGTCATTGCTGCTCCATTTGCAGGGCTACTGTCTGCTGTCACAGCAAAGACAGAAATCTTTTGGGAGCAGATCAGCTGAATGGACACTGGATGTTGCTCGTGACTGCTGTGCTTTCATTACAGTTGACTTTGTAGGCTTGAATGTGACTGTGTAGTCAACCCTATGTTAATGTTGTGTTGCATTAGCTCCCTAGCTAACATCAGTGTCAACTGGACACAAACTCTTTCAGACTCTCCCCTCTGGCAGGAGGCTGCGGTCCATCACGACCAAAACCTCACGCCACAAAAACAGTTTCTTTCCATCTGCAGCTGGCCTCATCAACAAGACCAGAGACCCCCACCTACTCTGCCCCCAACCCCCTCTGTAACACACAGTCGGACATCTCTTCATCATCTTGGTCATTCACCTGTCACACACTGCATTCTTTTGATTTTGCATATCTGTACTTTGCACAACTCTATTCATGTTTACAGTGTACATATGTTTTATATTTTTTTATATTACTATTATTGTTATTTGCATTCAGATTTTATATTTAATTGTTTATAGTATTTGCTTTTTATACGTATGCTTCTAATTACTCTATATTTTTATATATTTTATATTCTTTGTTATGCACCAATACACCAAGCCAAATTCCTTGTATGTGAAAACCTGCTTGGCAATAAATCCGATTCTGATTCTGATTCTCTTAAATAAATGAAATCATCCAGGCAATGGGAAACTTAACACAATAAATCTTTAATGATTAGATGACAGAGAGCAACATGTCACTACCAAAGTAAGACACACTGTTTATACAAAACTTTTTGTTTCTTTAACAAAAAAATATTGTAATGTTTTTTAAAAAAAAAAAAAAAAAAAAACCTGCTCTTGTGAAACAGTTGATGATGAATATGTCTTCAGAAAAAGTCTTCATATTGCAACAAATTTTGAAAAAGAATATTAGGGGATGGGTAATGAACCAGATGACATGGTCTCCTTCATCACAACTTCCTGTCTCTCCAGCAGACCTGCAGGAACACACATTCAATCCTTCACGATGCATTGTGTTTACACCCAGTGGCCACATTATTGGGTCTCCAAGTGAATGAAATACAGTATAACAGTCCAAACGTATATTAAACATATCTTAACCAAGTTTATAATGTTTACTTTTTGGAATAGTTAAAAGGTGACGTTGAGCCTGCACTATATTGATAATTGTTTCTAATTAGTGGAAACACCTCTGAATATAAAGCAAACCAGTAAAACACAATCACTTACTATGACCTCTGTGCTAAAATATAAATTTTGATTAAGACCGACAGTGTCAACAGTAGCTGAAAGGAAGACATTGTGTTAACCAGAAATGACTACATTAATAGATTTTCGTAGATTTTTGTTGTCCTCAAGTCTTGTATACATCAATTTTGTTTTACACATTTTTATATTTTTATAGTTCATAGTTCATATTCAGTGCTTCTAATTGTATTGAATAAAGTACTTTGAATTTATTTGCTTTGCCTTTCTTTGGTTAAAGAGATTTGTTTAATAGATGATGGGGAGTTCTGCTGCATATGTGGAAAAGTAGTAATAAGTCTACAGTTGCCTTAAGTGATGTCACTTGAGTCAGCACCAGTTGGGGCTGAAGTCTACCATCTTGAAAAAAATCTGGGCATGTGGAGTTTAGTATAGTAAGTCATTTTATTAGACCTCTGCAGTACATTTCTCATCTCTGCTTGAGCCTAGCGGTTTGAGGCTTCCTTAGCTGTTACCAGCAAAACACATTTAAATCTCAAACTGGTCAAATTACACTGCGAGTTATGCATGCTTTGCCAATAGAGAACAATGTAGAATAAAAAGTCAATACCTGTAATTCATTTATTTTAATCCCTGATCCTGTTTTTACTGTTGTTAAAACAACCCTGTTGTGCTAAATAAGTAAACTTCTCTTAAATTGCCTGTAGATTCCTGATACATAAGGTGAGCTGTAAGTCTCTCTGTCAAACTGTACAGAAAACCAGCTTTTTTTTTGTTTACTTGATACTTGAGCTTCATGACACATGCTTTTTTACCTGTTACTTACTCTTGTGGTTTGCGTTTGACAAGCTCAAATTCACCAGTGCAAGTTGTGTCTAAATAAAATACAAAACACGACGGACCGCCTTTTTGAAAATAGTTCATGCGTCAGTCAGTACCTCTGTGGTTTTAACTGTAACCTTTTCTGCTGGTGACACAGTCTAACAGTGGCTGAAAGAATAAACAAGTCCTTACATGTTATATCACACTGCAACAGCTGTAGAAGTTACACAATATTAAACTTATATTAAAATATAAAATAAGTGACTCCCCACTACTGTAGCTCTGACAATGTGACCAAAAAGGAACTCTCCACGGGCAGAGGGTTGGAGAAAAAATAACATAAAATTAGAAAAAAAAGACAGCTTTAATTCTCCATGAGATCAACTGTAAAGTGATCTCTTTACATTTAAGTTTGTGTGTATTATTTGTATGTGCTTCCAGGGTTCCAACAGTGAAGCAGTCCCAGCAGCAGTAGTAACAGAGCCACCACCACAATGGTGAACACCATCCTTGAGAAGAGGTAACTGTGACAGGAGTCATCTGAGGAGGGACGAGGCTCTCTGTCAAGTTCTGCAAAGACAACAGAGTATGTGCCATAAAACTAGGGTGACCATATTTTGATTTCCAAAAAAGAGGACACTCGGCCGGCCACGACATAGCCTACTTAAATGATACTTGCAGTTTACTCAAAGATGACTTATAATTTTAATATATTTAAAATTTATATGTATGGATAGAAAATTCAGTTATATTATAAAATAATATCTCTCAAAGACAGAAATTCAGATAGGCCCCTATAGATAGGGGACACATACACACACACTAGAGTGTGGCTACCCGATCCGAGCCCGACGGGTCCCGACGGTAGGCCTACCTGACGGGTCGGCCGGGTTTGGTCAAAAATGTATTGTATTCTGGCTCGGGTCGGATTCGGTCAGCTTTCAGAGAAAATGTAGTGTAAAAATAAATAAAATCCTATTGTCTGTCCTGGTTATTGCTTGGGCACTGTTATTTACGTGACAACACCTGAACATAACACACACACACATTGGCTGTTTGTTTCTACCTCTTGCCTCGCTGGAAGTCTCGGACCTCCAGCCGCCCGCCTCCGCCTTGATTAAACGCTGAAAATAAAAGAGGGAGATGGGTTTTTCCTATTTTATCTTATTTTGTTTTATTTCTCCCTCTCCTCTCGCTAGAACCATTGGACCTCCCGCCTCCCGCTCCCGTCTCAAACACGGAGGTCTCCCTCTCTGTGGAGCACCCACAGCGCACGGCCGGCCTGTTAAATAGCCTGTAACCATGACAACTGTGTGACACAAACTCAGTGCTTTAGTAATTAAATAATGTCGGGCTCGGTTCGGTTTTGGACATAACAAAACATAATGACTGTTGGGTTCAGACAGAAATATGCGGCCCATGCCGCGCACACACACACACACACACACACACACACACACACATAAGGAAAACCGGACATTATCATCAATTTATAAACACCCCCCGGATGCCCCGGACAGAACGTGAAAAGTGGACATGTCCGGGCAAAAGAGGACGTTTGGTCAGCCTACATAAAACTATTAATACATATGCAATGTTTGTCAATGTGTCCCTGATGGATTGTACAAAGGAAAAATTACTTGTGCCCCCAAATATTCTGCAACTAATCATCATCCAGAGCTTTGTAATTGCAAAACCAAAACAATAGCTTTTACGTAGAAAACTGTAGGGTGTCTTATGAGTATGTGCCCTTGTTTAAAACTGGCTACGTTTCTGTTTAAGGTCTGCTCTCATATGAAGGTTATTTTAAAAAAAATAGATAAAGAGACAAGCAAGACATACAACACCATATTCCAGCTGGGCAGATGTCAGGCTGTGGGGAGAAAATAAATAAACATATGTATGTCTCACCTCTGACAGCCATCCAGCTGACTGGTGATTCTCCGACATCAAAGATATTACACTTGTAGAGTCCTTCATCAGACTTGGAGACACTGTGGATGGTCATCTCTCCTGTAGAGCTGCTCTCTGTGAGGCTACCATCTTTATAGAAATCAGCTGTGAGATTGGAGGAAGCTTCTTTGGTTCTGCAGTGCAGAGTGACAGCGTCTCCCTCCACCACAGGAAGGACAGGACTCTCCAGGATCACTGAACCAGCTGAACAACAAAGGCATGCTATCATTTACTGAAAGAATACTGTGTGAAGATCAATATAAGTCTTATCTCTCTGGTAAGACTTTATTGAAAGATAATCTGATAGATTTAGACATTTTACAGAGACTTAAACTTACCAGTGACAGTGATGTTGACACTGTTACTTCTCCCTCCTTCTTTAGTCTGACACCAGTACTCTCCACTATCTGATGGATAGGCATTTCTAATGGCACAGAGGGATCCTGAGTACATCCTCCACTTGGCAGCACATGTGGTAAATTCTCCCTTCACCTTTCTTACAACTTCCCATCCAGCTGAGCCATTAACACTCTCACAATTAAAAGAGACGGACTCATATTCAAAGAGCTGCAGTCTGGATGGAACAATACGAGAAAAAGCTGCATCTGAAACAGAAACAGAAGAAACAAAGATTTTGAAAGGTGTTTGTATTTTGAAATTATATTTGTTAGTGGGCTGTTGTTCTGAAATTAATATTTTTAATGAGGCTACAACAAGGCTAGATAGCAAATCTCAAAGAAATCTTTCTGAATTTGATTTTGTAGGAAAGATCCAGAAAAAAACATACCACGTTTCCAAGCATTACTTGCATGAAGTTGCGCCACCAGCAGCATCAACACATTTGTTGCTGAAGAGGAAAAGGAAGACAGCAAAAAATACTTCCGTTAGAGCTGTTATTATGGCTGGTAGATTGAGTTTCTAATTTCCAACTACTTTCTGGAAAATTACAGAAAACAGAGTGACACTCAGTACTTACACAGTCTGAAGCAGAGAGCTGTGACCTCCATGTTGCCTTGCTGCTGACTGTCTGAGAAGCACTTAGACTTACGATGTAAGTTAGAACTTCCTCTTCCTGTGTAGTGTATTCTGGTGCTAATATAAGAGTTGGTTTGACCTTTAATGTTAGAAACAGAGGCAAAAGTGATCTGAGGCTAAACAAAAAGGTCATAGGTATGTGAGGGAGGGAAATTCTGTTGGCTTCCTACCATAAAGCATGGTCATAATAATGCTGCTAGTGGAGTTGTTGCGTGATGGAAAGTGTACAGAATAACAAAATGTGAAGATTACCTCACAGTTCTGAAGGACAATATCAAGCTATCAGTCTTACTGCTTGCTACAACAGAACAATGACCTTGAAAGATTGGGTTTGGGGTGGCTGTATCTACGTTGAATGTTGGTACTATGAAGCACACAGTCAGATAATGATGTCTGGGTAGCAGTTGATGAGCTAAATTCAGAATAAATCTTGTGAACAGTCTATGTGAGTGTTCATACTGCAATACATACATACATTATAAGATATACAAAAAAATTCTCCGCACACTGACATAGACTTTACTATCGAAATTTAATGAAGGGAACAACGTGTTTCGTGTTTAGCGTCATCAGGTTCACCTCATCAGGTCTGACCTAAGCATTCTCAGGTGTGTTTAAATGCTTGCTGGTCACATGACCAATTTCGTTTTTTCTTTTTTTCTCTGTTTGTCTAAGCAAGACTCAAAAAAAATATACAAAAACAATACAATTACATACATCATGAAGTTGAAAAAGTATGCATCAACCATGGTATAAGTTAAAAACATAAGAATTTCAATGCATGAATAGCAAAGTCTACTTACATAATCAATATTACACAAAGCGAGGATAAGAGGTAGAATTACTTCAAAGTACTCTATCCTAGCTTGAGACCACCAGTACCTATATACAAATACCTTTATGCAGAGGAACCATATAACAGGACATGAATAATATACATTAATAATATACATCCTGCAAGTCTATCCTTTACTCACTACTCCGCAGATAGTGCAGGCTCGACTTTCCCTACTTAGGACAGTACAGCTTTGCTGAGCTTTCCCTTTATGTATCCTACAGGGCAAAAAAGAAGAAAAAACAGGTTAAAGAAAACAACTCAAATCCTGTGAATCATTCATTCCAAAAGGTTCAGCAGTAGACAGTTCATTAACCAGCACCTGACGATCTGTGGCTGTGCAAGGAGATTCCATTGATTTCTTTGCACACCCCTCATACCACTATGGATGAACAAAGTGAGCATGAGATTCAAGCGTCTTGCTTCTCCTTCGATGATGCGGAGGCACAACATATTATTTCTCAACTATCCCTCTTTGATGACGGCCAGAAGGATATTCCGACAGTAAGTCTGACAAATGAGAAGTCGAAGATGACGTACCTGGAGAAAAAAGAGATTCGCCTTAAATGGCACGGCATTGCACTGTCTGAATATTGGTGCAACAAACAAATCCCCAGAGGACTGAGAATTAATAAGAAATTCATAAAGAAATGGGACCAGATCCTTAATAAGTGCTCACTTGATCTGACTTTACTTATTATTGAACAAACTAAGCAAGACTCAGAAAGTGAAAATTGATTTGCAAGAAACAAAAACTACTCTGAAGAACAACATGAGCCTAGCTGACTACTCAACTATGGAAACTGAGCTAAAAGAGGAATTGACTAAGTTTGAGAATGAACTGAAAGCCTACAAAATAAAGAAGTACCAGCGAGACGCGGAGGATTATAAAAGAGGGATAGTCTACAACTGGACAACCAGCGCACAGCGCAACTGGAGACCCCGCACGCATGGAGGTACACGCGCACCAGGCACATGCGCACCAAGACGACAGGAAGGCAGCCGTCAGACCCAACGTCCTAATCTTCTCCTCACCAGTGAGGAGGGGACAAGTGATCAGGACCTCACCAGCGCATCCTCCACTGATGAAGCTTTTTTAGACCCCATACCCAGAAGAAAACCAGGAGGGGACAGAGGACGAGGAGCGCACCCGTCATCCAGCAGGGAGTGGAATATGGTAACACGGAATCGCAGCCGGAGGTAGAACTCTCAGTAATTAACATCTCTGATTATCCACTCACTACCCTCCAAAGTAATGTTTTGAGTCGTGGGCTATCTTTTGTTCCCACTAATAAAGTTAATGCTTTCAAATTGAAAGTTGACTCTTACAAATTTTTCAGACAGCTCCATTTGAATCATTTTTTTCACAATTGAGTGAATGAGACTGACGTGGGACTCCGTGACCCTTTGAGTAAGTTTAAGAAAAAATCTACCTTTATGCCCCCGGGTGTCCCCAATCCTACTCTGGTCACATTTAGTAAACTTGTGGAAAGAGACATTGAAGCTGCTGTTAAATCTAAAAACAGGGTCATGAATCATCACATCAGCATATTAGAGAGAAAGACCCTCAATGAACTACTGAACAATCCTAAAATTTTGATAAAAGCAGCCGATAAGGGAGGGGCTGTAGTTGTACAAAATACTAAGGATTATACAACTGAGGCCTTTAGACAACTTGGTGATGCCTCTTTTTACAGAGAGTTACCACATAACCCGGTGGAGATCTTTGTAGAAGAGAGGGATTCTATTCTGAACAGAGCCTTGGAGAACCAGTGGATCACTAAAAAACAATTTCTGAAAGTGGAATACCCAATGACTCCTGTGTTCTACTTATTGCCCAAAATACACAAGAGATTGGTGAACCCTCCGGGCAGACCCATTGTAGCAAGTAAGAACTCATTGTCTGAGCCTTTAAGCCAATTTGTGGACTTTTTCATTAAAGACATTGTGAAGACTTTACCATCATATGTGGCGGACACCACTGATGTCTTAAAATTACTGACTCACATTACTATGCCTGAAAACTCTTTTCTGGTTACTTTTGATGTTGAAGCCCTTTATACCAACATCCCACATGAAGGTGGCCTAGAAGCCATGGACTTTTACTTGGAACCTAGAAAAGATGCTCTCCCTGCCGAACTGCTGATGATATTGACAAAGTTTATTCTGAAGTCTAATTACTTCATGTTTGATAAAAAATATTATTTGCAATCTCAAGGCATGAGTATGGGGTCACCTTTTGCCCCTAACTATGCAAATTTGTATATGGGACTGTGGGAAGAAAAGCATATATTTAATAACAATCCATTTTCTGGTAACATTTTGTTTTTTTCACAGATTTATTGATGACATTGTGATGGGATTTGTAGGCAGTGAAGATGACCTGAAGGCATTCAATGTTTACATTAATGGGACATATCCTAACTTGAAATTCACTATGGAATATAGTCAAAAAGAGACTCATTTTTTAGATCTACTTATTTCTGTGAATGACAACAGGAGATTGGAGACATCTATCTATCGTAAAAACACTGATAGAAACACTATTTTACATTCTACTAGTTTCCATCCTGACGACCTCATTAAAAATATCCCATACGGGCAGTTCATAAGGTTGAGAAGAATATGCAGTAATGAAGAGGATTACATCATTAAGACTAAAGAAACGGCTGAACGGTTCAAACAAAGGGGATATGACAAATCCCTTATTGACAGGGCTATTGAGAAGGCTAACAAGAGGGAGAGGGATAAATTATTATATCCTCCACTTTCTCAGCGTGAAAATGTAAACAGAACCACCTATGTGTCAGAATATTCTACAGCTTCGAGGCAAGTCAAACAAATTATTAATAGACATTGGAAAGTACTAGAATGTGACCCAAGCCTAAACCATCTATCTGCCTCCAGACCTCTATTTTGTTTCAAGAGAGGCAGAAATGTGAGAGTCACTGTTGTCAGTTCCATGTATAGTGAACCAAAACAAACCAACTGGCTTTCTCAGCAAGTTTATGGGAATTATAGATGTGGAAAATGTGCACATTGTGCCAACACATTTGATACAAAAACATTTAATCATCCCCATTCCGGAAAGAAATATAATGTAAAAGAATTTATCATTTGTCTTTCCACTCATGTAATTTATGTGCTTATTTGCCCATGTGGCTTGATGTATGTTGGCCAAACAAAGCGTAATCTGAAGTTGAGGATTGCTGAGCACAAAGCGGCTATCAGAAATAATAATTTTGATTACGCCATCGCAAGACATTATAAAGATAAAAATCATGGTTCTACAGCTTCCCTTAGATTCATTGGAATTGAAAGAGTGTTG